ACTAATCACTTGTGTATCTCACATAAACACAATTAGTCCACCTAGGGTTGTCATTCAATTATCAAAACCACACAAGGACCTTTCAGTAGGGGAGATCCTGATCTGCTGTGCGACAATGATGATGGCAGCCGGATCAATAGGATCGGGCGCCTAAACAGGGGCGCTACCCCTGGCAGAGATTGACCTTTCCCCTAGGGCACGCGGTGCGGAAGCGGGGGCGACTAGGGTTAGGATCTAAACCTAGGCGAATGATACCATGAAGGAGAATATAATTGGTGGAATATTGGATGTATTGCATTGGGCCTCATGGGCTGATTATATAGGGTACATAGGACTAACACCTCACGTGGGTACACAATGTGGTACTATTCCTATTTACTCTGACAACGGGCAGTACCAAACTACCAGCAGCTGAAGAGTTTAGAATTCACTAGTGCACTTACTAGTTGCTGGTAGAAAAGTGAGAACGTTGGGTGTTTTTTTTCAGCTTGGGAGAACCAGTGCGTAGAAATGGGAATGGAGTACCGTGCACAACAATTCTTTGTCGGTAATGCTTAAATGCTGAGTCCGATGTGTGCGGACGTTTCTGTTGGTGGGTCGTAACACCGACCCAAACAGCCCAAGAGGTGTTCTCGCCTTTCTACAGGAGCTGCGCTTGCCTTTCTTACTGAGAAATCCTTCAGTGTTGCTTACGAACGAAACTAACTCTCCACTCGCGAAGGTCTCCGCACCACCGCCGCGGCGTGCTCCACTAGGACCACGCCGCCGGGGCGTCCACGGTGCTCGGCCACCCACTGGCCACCATCCTCCACTGCACCCGAGCGTCGCCGCCTCTCCTTCCTCCCTCTTCACCGCGCTCCGGCCACCATCCTCCATTGCACTCGAGCACTGTAGCCCCTCCTTCCTCCCTCTTCCCCGCCCTCTGGCCACCCACTGGCCACCATCATCCAATGCACCCGAGTGTCACCGCCCCTCCTTCCTCCCTCTTCACCGCGCTCACCTACTATTTGTCACACCCCAAAATTTCTGATTTTTTGTTGTGCATAGAAAACACTAAATAAAATAAATTATTTTAATATGTGGATAAAATTTACCAAGTTTAGTTTGAGCTAACGCAAATTTAGTTATAGAAAAATGTAAATTTTCAAAGTTTTCTAATGTTGAAGGGCGTTTGGATGATGTGATGTTTGCTTGTTGCTTTTTTGTGTGTTGAGAGTGAGCAAAGCCTTTAAAATGTGTTAGTAGGTCGATTTTCCTTCTCCGGCACGCTTTTATCTTTTTCTACGATCAAATTTTTTGTTTTTCGGCTCAAGTTTTTGTTGGGAGCTTCCTAAAATATTTTCTTTGTAACGCAAATCACTCCTTTCAGTTTCTCATCCGTCAATCAATCTTTACAAACTTCTCGAGAATTTTTCTAGCTTTTTCTAAAACTTGTTCCTACTTGTCTGTGAGCATAATTTAATTTTTAATGCTCCAAATTATCTTATCATGGGCTCCAAATACTTTATTTGGGTTTCTCATGTTCCATAATGTCTCTGGGAAATTTTCCTGAATTTTCAGAGCTTTCAGAGTATTTTCGCGGCTTAAATAACAATTCTAGACTTTCTAAAATTATTTTATCCACGAAATTAATTAATTCCGAAAATAATAAATCTCTCATTTTTTCCAACGCTCAAAGCCCATGTGCAATAATCCTAATAAATCTCAAAGGCCCATGCATTTATTTACTAATGTGCTTTAATGATTATTTAGGCCCATTAGTAAATGTGGAGGGTGCAACATCAATTAGTACCATATTGCTAGTTGATGTAGATGTGGGAAATTTTTCTTCTAATAAATATGTGCCAACTTCTTGGACAAAGCACACTAAAACTACCGTAAAGGGAGCTTCTAGTTTGGGAAATCCCTCGCGTAGTAAATTAGATTTTTTCATCCTCTCTCGCCGTCGCCGCCGCGCTGCCCGTTGCCGCCTTGTCAAGCTGTACGTCATCATTCTTCTACTCATCGCTGGAGCTCTTTGTCCATGAAGACACGCTGCCGCCGCCGCTGGCGCCACCAGCTGCTTCACCGCCGTTCGCTACACCGCTGCCGAGGTTCGAATCGAGGTGATGAATCCGTCGACGCTTCCCTTCCTTCCTCTTGCAGAATCAGCGGCATAAGTCTCATCTTGCCTCGGATCGATCGAGTGTCAAACTGTTCATCGATCATACTCTGCTGCTCATCACGTTGCTATGCAAGCACACCTACATGCTCCCAACTCAAGCGCCATGCATACCTGAAATCCCACGTACGATACGTGCACCAAGCCACCGACAGCACATCTATCCTTCACGTTTTGTTTATAATCCATTCTATCTATCGTATGATCTTCTCTTTAAATAATTAGCTACAGCTTTAAAATTCGGTAGTTTCAATATCCTAGCTCTGATTTAGTGGCGATAGTCTCATAATTTAAATGTTAGAAGCGACCATGCCAAATATTTTTGAATTTTATAATTTAAAATATTACTGTTATTGATGTTTATGTGCAACTAGTTTTCTAATCTAAAAGCAATATAGGTGTTACACTACGGTATTTGATATGTAAATAAATGTTAAATATGATTAACTGCTACAGTTAAACCACGTTGCATATACTAAACTCAAAAATAGGTGTTCTCTCATGTCATTTTACTTTGTAAAGTTAAAGTTTAAATAGCTTAATTTATACGGCAACATTTATGAATAAAATGTGACCAGTTTAACCCGCTTTTGAATCAAAATATAACTTGAATTAATAACCTTCACATGGTTTTATCTAATTAAAATAAATGAAGCTTATAGGTTTTCTTTTATCTACAAATTAGACCATTCGATAGTTGTTTCTTTTATACATAACGTCTTATAATTTAAAACGAACGGAGTAGTACTTTAGATTTTTGCAAAAAAGATGATAAAGACTTCGGTTCAACAATTAACTTAGATTACCCTATTTTAAAGCTTCTTTTTATAACAACCCTATTTCAAAAGTTGGATAATCCGATGGATGCAGATGTGGGTATCATGTAGTTTGAAGTATTAAGATCATAGTTTCAAAAGTTAGACATGATTCAAAGTGTCAACTTTTTTTTGTCACCGGAGGAACTATTTCTTATCTTAATCTTGACACCTTAATTTTGATTTGACTATTTGGAAGTATAATCTAGCACGAAAGGAGCAAGTTATTCGGCGTGCCTTTTCATTTCTCAATCATCATCCCTCAACCAAATGTCCAAATGGAATATCTCAAGATTCCTCATCTTTGTTCGGTTGTTCCCTCTAAAACTCAATAATAAAATTCTTTAAAAAAAACTCAATAATAAAAAAGTGCTCCGTTGGACCTTTCCCATCCATCCAAGAAGGCAAAGAACCAACCAACCAACCCCCAAAACCAACAAGGCAAGAACCACCACGGCACCGGCAGTCCGTTACATGGAGGCCGCAGCCTCAGCCCTTCTCCTCCTTGGCCTCAGCGCCAGCCTCGCTGCCTTCGCCTCGGCCGCGGCTCCGTACGACCCGCCGACGGTGCCGGAGCTCATGGACCGGTTCGGCCTCCCGCGCGCGCTGCTCCCGGAGACGGCCCGGCGATACCTCCTCCACGACGACGGCACCTTTGAGCTCTTCCTCGACGACGGTTGCGTGGTAGAGGTGGGGGGCTACCGCGTCGGCTACGACATCGAGCTCTCAGGCACGGTGTCCCCCGGGACAGTCACGGGGCTCGAGGGCGTCCGCGTCCGCGTGCTCTTCGTCTGGGTGCCCATCACCGGCGTCCAGGTGGCCGGCGGAGAGGTCACTGTCCACATCGGGCCAATCAGGAAGTCGTTCCCTGCCGTTGGGTTCAAATCCAGCCCCCAGTGCACCATCGGATCGGCGGCGGCAGATATCTTGCTTCCTTAGGTAGAACAGCAGTCACTAGTCAGCTGCGTGATCTGTTAGGATTTAGTGTTTGTGCTAGCATACTATCACACGATTATTGTATTCTTTAGTGGGAATATTTGTTCTCTCTCAAACAGAAAACAAACACTGTAACATATGATTAAGTTTTATTTTCCTTTTGTTTTTACCCAACCGGAAATCATGCATCCCAGTTTGCTGTAGACTTGTAGTTCAACAAGGGAGATGGGGGATGCAATTTGTATCCACAACTTCAATTTAGTGAGTTTGTTGCACAAAACATCATGCACTTTCATGTTGAACGCTGAAATGGCAAATGAGGTTATTGCGCAAAAGATCATGTGCTTTCATGTTCAAGGCGGAAATGTTCACAAAAAAATTAGCGAATAGGAAGAAGCAATTGAAAACATAAAAAATGTTTGAAGATGAAAAACAACTGGAAACATAAAAAAGAAGATACAGTGAAGAGAAAGAAGCAATTGGAAACATAAAAAACTGAAAAATGTATTAATAGAAATTAAAAAAAATGTTTGAAGATGAAAAGCAACTGAAAACGTAAAAACGAAGATACAGTGAAGAGAAAGAAGCAATTGGAAACATAAAAAACTGAAAATTTAAAAGGAGACAAAAAAAAATGCAACCCAAATAAAACATTAAAAACTGAAAAATGTATTAATAGAAATTAAAAAACGCCGTCTGTGGGATTCGAGACAAAAAAAAATGCAACCCAAATAAAACATTAAAAACTGAAAAATGTATTAATAGAAATTAAAAAACGCCGTCTGTGGGATTCGAACCCACGACCACACGGTTAAAAGCCGTGCGCTCTACCGACTGAGCTAAGACGGCATATGGTTCAATATTCCTTGTTATGCTTAATCACATAAAGAATGCACAAAGAGTACACCAATCCACCTTCGTAGCTGATTGTCTGAAACTCAAATCAGTGTAAATGGATTTCAACCACAAACTGCGAATAATGTACATCAAAGAACAGAGACCACATCAATCAATCGCACGGTGCTATTGCTTTGTTGCTAATTAGTACTGCTACTTATCTACTCCTACCTACGCAAAATGCAATGTAGTTATTGCAGCCTACTAACACTTTCACCTGAAACATGCATCGAGACTGGTTGCTGCTTTATCCTGGACAGTAGGAGATACACCTCCTGCGTTGCAAGATCCATCCGCTCATGAGATTTTGTTGCTTCACTCACCAGCGCTGAGACCATGGATTGCAATGCTCCCACTCTCTCAGATGCTACGCCCTCAGGGTGATGAGGAGCTCCATTCAAGTTGTTGGACGGTGGTGGCTGAGTCCTGCGCCACCGGACAGGAAGGTACAGGTCTGGGATCTGGAAATAATTCAGTGCTGTGAGCACGCGAAGGGCATGCCGGCAGAGGATCCCTGAGGACTCGAACATCTGGCAGCAGCAAGAAATGAGCTCCTCCCTTTGGTTCCATGTAACACTGCAATCACCCGCCTCCTTGGTATGGTGACGGACAAGAAAAATACTCCCTTCCAAGTGCAAGGATGCATATTGAGCAGACGCAACAAGCTCATCTTGTAGCTTAGAGAAGGCATATGGGCTGAGAACTGCAGCAGCATGGCCTTCAATTGGAGATGCTGTCTTCAGGCTTATGCTCTGCAAACTTTGCCGCATCATTTCTTGTTCACCAGCTTGGTCTTTGTAGGTAACAATAATTGAAACCTGACAAAAGAATTAGCAGAGTAACACATTACTGCGTTTAGTTCACACAAAGCAAGGAGTAACACATTACTGCCCAAACAAGAAATTTATGTTAGCATGTACAGTATGGCTATACTGGACTGAAGCCATAGTAAAGGGGATTGCATTTTTTTTTACAAATATCTGAAAACCATGGTGATCCACATCAAATGAAAAATTTGGTATTTGACAACAGATGCTCACCTGCTCAATGAAGTTTGCAAGGTGTCTTTGAGCACTCAAGAATCGCTGAATGAAGGCATTAGTTGACTTTGAAACAGCTGGGGAAGTAATCAGTCCAGAAGTAAAACGCCCTCTCAAAAACGGCAAGGCCCAGAGATTTCTTGATGCAAACAGACTAGCAATATGCTCATTTCCATGAAGTCCATAGCAGTTCACCATGTCATTCCACCCAAGATCAAATGCCACTGTGCTGTCCATGTTATATAGCCTATCGAATTCATTTTTCCAGTCCTTGTATCGCTCTCCTAGATTTGCACCAAACCAAGATGGGAGCCTGGCTTCTATTAGCCATTTGCAGAGGACATGCTTTGTGCTAGGTAGTTCCTTTTCAATTGCTTCCTTGAGACATACATTTTGATCTGTGAGTATCGTCAGAGGAGCTTTCCTGTTCATGAAGTTGAGAAACACCTGCCGACAAGAAATGCTGCCTAAGAGAACAATTGCAAAGTGGCAAAATGAGTTTTTACCCTGATGAACGGTTACCTGCAATGCCCATGCAAATGATATCTGATTCTCCTCCCTTAGAAGCACACAAGCAAAGAAGAAAGACCTTCCATAATTGTTCAAACCAACCCATATCCCAAGCACCATGTCGAGTGCAGATAATCGATGAGTGGTGTCAAACACAACAGCATCACCAAATAACTCATAAGACTGAACCGAATCCGCATACGTCCAGGCAATGTTCTCCACATGATTGTTCGCATCTTTGGTGAACTCACACTTGAAATTGGGATCCTTCTCTTTGAAATTCTTGCACATCCTAAGTAGATCGACGCTCTCGTCCTCGTCATGCTCGACCTTCCTGGACTGTATGAGGTTCCTCACATCCTTCTCCGTGAAAGGCAGGTTCCTGGCTCGATGCACTTCTCCAGCTCCATTATCCTCATCATCTGCTGCACAGTGATCCCGGACTTGGCAAACATCAGGATCCGGTCCCTGTCGGCGCCGGAGATGAAGCGGTACGCCGGCAGGAAGCGCACCTTATCCTGCCCCAGGAGCGCGTGGTTGTGGTGGTTGGAGAACCCCATGACTCGCCACTGCGGCAGCGGACCTCCGGCGTCCGCGCGCCCTGCCTATGCGCATATACGCCTGGCACCCGCACCGCGAGGAGCTCCTGTTCCGCTGCGGCCTGGTCGCACCGGCGAGCGGCTTCGCCGGCGCGGACCCCGCGCGGTGGCACACGAAGTACCGCCTGGTCAGCCCGCTGCCCACGCCGTCCTTCCCCTCCGTCCGGTGCCGCCGGATCGAGAACCCGCACCGCCGCGCGAACCCGCTGTAGAACTCGTACGCCGCGTCGTGGGTCGGGAACCGCTGCCCGACGTAGGGAGCGGCGTCGGGGTCACCCTCGCCCGCCTCCGCGGAGGGCGCCGCCGTCTCCAGCGAGAGCCGCGTCTCGTGGGGGGAGTCGTCCGCCGGCGTCATCCTGGCATTTGGCCACCGGAGGCTGCGAGAAGCGTGAAATGTTAGATGGATCTCCACCGGCTCGGTCCGAACCTGACTCGCGGCCTTACCGGGGCGCTCGGTCGTTCTTTTGGCTCGCGAGCTCCCGTCCCGCAGCGCTGTGAATACCAGGCGAGGACCAGGACTCCACATATTAGGTTCACCGTAGCCATCAGCGCCACACCGACGTTCTAACCCTAGTCCGATCGAGAGGGCGCGCCGTAAGAGACGAGAAGCGCCACCGCTTTCGTCGTCGCCACCGGATCGCACCTCCACTGCATAGCTACCTCTACTCCGACACTCGAGGCCACGTCGCTGCGGCGTCATGGCCGTGACTGCGCTTTGGGAGGTACATCGATAAGTTATTTGTCTCAGTTAAGTTTCACCCGCTAGATCTACACCTAGAGGTCCTATAAATCCTATCAATTGTATCGGAGCCAGGTTGGTGTGCGGATCTAGTTTGAGGTAGTCTAAGTTTTAGCATTTAGAAGAAGATAAATCGGAACGAACAAATCCAGTAGAGTTAAACCATAACCCTAACCCTAACCCTAAAAGACGGAGAGGACAGGGGCCTACCGAGGGGCTTACCTATCGTAGTTGTCACCGTCGACGTCGCTCCGACGTTGTGCGGGAAGAGCATCCAAATCGCCGGCGCCGGTCGGTCACGCCACCGCGTGGCCTCCGCATCGGGCTCAGGAGTCAAGGGCGTCGCCACAAGGCCACTCGACGGCGGCGCACTCAGCCTCGGGGCGAGCGCGTGCGTTGGCGAGGCGCCCTGCGGCGGTGCCGCCACGCCTGTCCGGTCGCCATGAGCAGCCGTATCTATTTCCCTAGATCTACTCGCCATGGCTACGGAGCTAGAACAGAAGAGAAGGGGAGCGAGAAAAAATAAGTGGAAGGGTAGCTGGAACTGCTCCGGTGACGCTTTTCCTCACCGACGCCGACGGCCAATGTGACCGCCGCCGCTGTCGCCTCTACGGCGAAGAGAGAGGAAGGGAGGGTGAAAATGTGTTTAGGGTTCGGGGGAGGAGGCAGGCGTCGGGGTTTTGTTCCTCTGAGTCTCGCGCACGACCGTCGGATCGCGATCGACGGCTCGCAGAGCTCGGACCGAATATGGCCCAGGCGGGAGAGAAGAATTTCGACCCAGGCCCAGGTTGTGGCCTGGGACGCGGAAACGCGCAGCGCGCGAATATGGGCCGGTTTCCAGTATGGGTAGCGCGCTAGATCGCGCGAGCGGGCGCGCGGGCGAGATGGGCAGCGGGCCGACTTTTTCTCGGTTGGGCCAAAATGAACAGAAGAGCCTGTTTCAAGGTTTATTATTTTCAGAAGCAAATTTTGATGAATTTAGATTAGTTTTTCATCTCTATTCAATTTTGAACCAACGGGATAAATTATTCAGAGAGTAGATGAGTACAGTAAAATGCTTCTAAAAAGTAGATAAATTATATTTTTCATGTTTCCGCTGTAAACTTAATGATTATTATCTTCTCATTAAATTCGAATCAACGGGATAATTTAATTTAAAGAGCAGTTATATTTATTCAGTAAATTATGATTATGTTTATCCTCTAATTAAATTGGAACCAACGGGAAAACTTAAATTGGCGGAGTAGTTTGATTTATTTAAGTTTAATTATGATATTGTTATTTTTCTGTGCAACGTTGATGGTAACAATATTATAATGAGTTTAAGTTTGAAGTTTAAATCTCTGATAAAATTTACACCAACGTGGTTAATTTTTCAGAGAGTAGATAAGGACCAAAAAATGTTACTAAACTAATAGAATGTATTTTATTATCATTTTTTCGCTGCAATGATGTTTACCATCTTCTAATTAAATTCGAATCAACGGAAAAATTTAATTTTGAAGAGTAGTTATATGTCCTTCAAGTGAATTTATGAATTTTATGGATTAATTCTATTTTCTATCCAACAGTGATGTATAATTGATGCAGAAGCACCTTGTATATTTTAATTTTAACCGACGAGATCACTCGGCTGCAAGTCAACGGACTGTAATGCTGGGCTATGTGAATGGAAAGGCTTGAGTTAAGTCAGTTCAGACTATTTTTTTTGTTAGTTTGCTAATTTTTTGATTAAATTGGAACCGACGAGAAGATTTAATTGAAAAATGAAATATAAGTAAATGTTTTAGTCGTCGTGACTAAATTTTCGTTATAGTAAATAGTATATATTTTTTCCATCATTATGATAAGAGTTGCAATAAGTAACATGCATGTCTAATTTGACCAACGTTGGACTAAGCATGCGTGTTTGTATATAGATTTATCCTGCATGAGGAGAAGTTTGACATAGTATTTATGATAGTCAATCATGCATGTTGAAAGAAGTTTTGTGATGACTCATATGTTTTTATATCCCACATAGCGGGAGAAGTTTGGGTAGCTCTTATGCTATCCTAGTATTGACCATGACACAATAGAAATACACCGTCATGGTCAATACTAACCAAAAGATAAGAAAAAGATACAAGCATGACTTGTAAAAGTACTGCTAATAAAAGACCTCATTAAGTTCTTGAAGTAGAATGAGGAAAGTGTACTCCTATACGGATCAAGAAATAACTTTGTTTGCATGACATAATCATATGAATGAAGTAAGTTATAAGTGTCTCCTCGTTCACAAGTTTTTTGAATAGTTCTCGAAATTATGATAGTAAAGCTATAATTAAGAAAGATGAGATAAAGTTGTTAATGAATGTGACTACTCTTCATCAAGAGTGAGATAAAGATGTTGATGAATGTGACCATCGATCATAATAACGATATCCCTAAGCAGAGAAATAGTTAAATTCCTGGATCTTTAACAGTTCCGATAGGAAGATAGCGTAGTCAGCCAGAATTCATACTGGACGAGCCTTAAAGATGTTAAGGTGGTGCTTAAAGCGTCATATGAAGTTTTAACAAATTAAACCCAAACAAAAAATTTAAAGGTACACTATCTTTATAGAAGATGGGATGATCTGGGAGAGCATGATATGTAGAGACCTATGACTTAAAGAGAAGCGGGACTGCGTGCCCACTTTAGTGATTCAAAAACAATAAATTTCTCAATACTTGTTGACGTTGTATGACTTACACAGCATCTGTTATTAGCTCTTCAAAGAAGATGAATAATGTAAACAAGTATATTGTAATACAGGAGCCTGTAGAATCATTTGTCTCTTCGCAATGAAGAGCAATAACAGGCACATATAAAAGTGCCAGTAGCTGAGGCCCCAGAAGGTCTCAAAGAATTAGAAAACTAATTTTTTCTGATGACTATAAAGTCTATGTTAGTGAAGAAATTCAAATGGAGGGTGGTCCCACCTCATTTGACGAAGCCATGAGAAGCGTTTACTCGTCTAAATGGCAAGAAGCTATGGAAGCTGAAATGAATTTGATGAATACCAACGATGTTTGGGACTTAGAAGAAATTTTCAATGGAGCCAAAACAGTAGGCTGTAAATGGGTCAACAAGACAAAGCGTGACTCCAAAGGTAATGTGGAAAGATATAAAGCACGACTTTTAGCAAAAGACTTTATGCAAAGAGAATGAATAGATTACAATGAGAGTTTTCTCTCCAGTCTCATGGAAAGATTCTTTTAGAATCATAATGTCGTTAGTGGCATATTACGATTTAGACTTAAATCAGATGGATGTGAAGACGACATTCATCAACGGGGATTTGTATGAAAACGTTTACATGGCATAACCCAAACGTTTTGTTGTGAAAGTAAAAGAACGTATGGGATGCCGCCTGTAGAAATCCATTTATGGGTTAAAGTATTTGAAGTTGATGAAACAATAAAAAAGTTTAGGTTTAAAGAAAATAAGAAGGACAATAGCGTTTATGCGAAGTTCAAGAATGAAAAATTTATTTTCCACATCATGTGTATAGATGATATCCTACTCACTAGTAATGATGTTAATCTGTCATTAGAGAAGAAGTTCTTGTCCTCAACTTTGAATATGAATGATCTTGGTGAAGCGTCATTGGTTCTAGGAATTGAAATTCACCGAGATAGAAGAAAATGGGTATTAGGACTGTCGCAAAGACATACTTAGAAAAGATTCTAAAGAAATAAAGTATGCATGCGAATAAACCTACGCCTGCTCCTAAAGTCAAGGGTAATAGATTTGGGAACCTTCAGGGTTCCAGGAACCAATATGAGATCGATCAAACGAACATGGTTCTATATGCTTCAGCTGTTGGAAGCTTAATGAGTGTACAAGTAAGAACTTACCCTGACGTAGCTCATGTATCCGGGATGTTTTGGCAGAAATCCAGTCTAGATATAAATTACTGGAATGGAGTTAAGAATGTCTTGCAATTTTGCAAAAGTATTATAGGCCTCATGCTGAGTAAGAAAGAACAAGTACTCTCAAATAGTGTTGGGTACAAATGTTAAACCTTGGCGAGATGTGTAGTGAAATTCACAGTAGTTGCTAACATTTATTGTTGAAGTATTATTGTGGAAAATCTCTAAAGAAACAGTTGTGGTATCATCAATGACGCATACCTTAGTATAGCTTGGTATCAGGCTTCAAGGACAGGCAAAAGTGGTTAAGGAAATTTTGTACCCGGAATTAATACTGGTAGACAACAGCAATAACCATTTAAAGCAAATCACTCATATGACAACAGGTCAAGTGTGATGCCAAACACATTGACATTAAGTTACATGTTATAAAGGAGAAAATCCAGAATCATTTTGAAAGCATTGAGCATATAAGTATCGAGTAAGTACTTGTGGATCCGCTTACCAAAGGCTTACCACCCAGTGCGTTCAAAGAACACACAGTCGACATGGGTTTACAGAAAAGCCTATGATTTCTAGATACTAAGGGCCTAATTGAGAATCTGTTTCAAAACAGAGAGGTATATTGTAGCTGTTAGTCCAACAGTACTAACTGTTATGACGAGGCATACTCTATGCACTAATCTATGATGGAATGGGAAAAAAGACAAAGTGAATTA